TAATCTGAAAGTTATATGTGTTTATTTCTTTGGACATTTAAAATAAATATATTTTATTAAAACTAATCTGAAGTAAATAATAAGATCTATCACAAAATCTATGTTATAACTAAGTCTTAAATTTACTTTTATATTTGTTTTTTTTTTGTTTCTTTTTTTTTTGCAGTGTATAAGGTCAAAATTAAGTGTTATTATAACAGCAGTATTTACCAATGTAAGTAACAGCCACCCCATTTAACATATTTGGAGGCGTCTGTTTGTTTCCAAAGAGAAATTAGCATTTCTGTAGCAACAGTAATCTGGAGACCCAATCACTGTCCAGATAGCTGGTTGGGGTTGTGGGATATAATCACAGCACATTCATTCATGTCTTTTAGAAGTGTTTGTCTCTGTTAGAACCTTGCTGTATTGAAGGAGGAGAAGATAAGATATTAAAAACTTTATTTCAACTATTCGTTTATTTCTCCCTCTGCGCGAGTCAGGTTACTAGTTTAATAGCGTAAGCTTCTGTTATTATACGTCACACGCATCACACACATGACCAGCGTCGGCCAATAGTGAGCCTTCGTGTGACGTAGCTCTACGCAATCACACTACGTTAACTGACTACAGGCCCATGGAGAAGGAAGTGAATAGTTGAAATAAAGTCGTTATTTTTGTTTGTTTTTGTGCACAAAAATATTCTCGTCGTTTGATAAAGTTAAGATTGAGCCCCTGAAGTCACTTGGACTATTTTAACGATGTCTTTAATGTATTTTCGGGGACAGCAAGTGTCATTCCCTCAAGAAGCCTACGGACTGTATGCAGGAGCGATCTTAATATCTTAAATATCTTAATTTGTGTTCTGAAGATGAACGAAGGTCTTACGGGGTTGGAACAACATGAGGGTGAGTAAATACTGACAGAATTTTCATTTTTGGGTGAGCTAGGGTTGGAACAACATGAGGGTGAGTAAATACTGACAGAATTTTCATTTTTGGGTGAGCTAACCCTTTAAAAAGCACAAAATTTTCTTACGGGGGAGCATGCCCCCGAACCCCCCTAGAGGGACAGAGGTGCGCTGACCAATACTATATTTCATTTATTCGGTTTGGTCATTTACAGATCATTCAATCAATCAATCAAAACATTCGAAACATAAACAGGGATTAAAGTTCTCCGTCGCTTCGACGGATTTCCTTTAATTGCAGCGGGTCTATGACGGATATCCGTCAATTGCAGGGTTCCCGTCTGTCCTTATGTCTTAAATTAACTTTTCTTAATTTTAAGGCCGTAAATAGGCTTTCATTTCGCAAACAGTGTGATAAATGTCTTATTTTTAGCTTGAATAGGTCTTAAATTAAGGAAAGATGATGCGTATTCACCCTGCCGAGGGGGGATGTGATAAAGCCTGGAGTGGAGCGAAAGCACGTTACTCTCTCCACTCTAAGCATTCTGTAATCACTTTGCTCATGGTCCACTCCGGTTTTTCAATTCCCGCTCACGGAAAAACTGCTCCCTGGACCCTGTTCACTCAATCTTGTCAGGCGAGGCCACAGCTCGTTTGCTGCGGTCCCATGATAGAAAACAGAACGTGGGTCAATATTGGTCGTTTCTCAATACCAAGTACACAAACTTCGGACTTGCGTCCTTGGTAGTTCGGACTTGCCAAGTTCGACTCGAGAGAACAAACTCCCGAGGACGAGAGGACGCTGCTAACAGCGCGTTCTTGATCGCGTCACTCAGCACGCGGCTACTCCGGTTATCAACTCGGCCTTTTTTCATCAACACCACTGTGCCTCTTTTCATTTATAAATGAACATAATTATTATCAAAAACATATAAATGGCCACACAAATGTGGTTCAGGCAACGCACATTGATTATAATATATTTATAACAACACGAAATATAGCTAAAACACAAACCTGCTTCTTTTTGTTTTCATTTTAAAAATATTAAATATTATAAACATTATTTATCATTAAAACTGACATTTAACAAACAGACAGGGTTGTGTCGTTTTATTGTATTATACGCACACATACAGTGAAGAGAATGAATAGTAATATAATATTTTATATATTTTAGAATATATAAAATTACACAACCATGTCTCTTTTTTTGTTAAATGTCAGTTTTAATGCTAATATCCCGTTCAAAGGTATAAGTACCCTAATAGGTAGGCTATAATAAACTATACAATGAGAAATAAAGCAAACAATTCAGTTAAACATAAGTAGGCTCTCTAATAGGCTACAAAGTTAAAGTTAAATAGCCTACATAATAAAGTTATAAAACTTCACTTTGCCCTCAGCCAAAACAATTTGCCATGGCACAAACTAAAGTTTAGCATTGTTTGGTCTCATAAGATAAAATAAAAACATGCACTGAAAACGTATGTATATGGTTGATTATTTGTCAAGATAAGTAATTGTTTTTCATAGATTAAAATAGCTTTTAAATTAAATTACAAAAACTGGCAATATTAGATTGGTTTTAAACATCTCCCCTTAAAACGCTATTGGTCTCGACTATTTAAATAAAGTATTAATAAAATTTTTGTAATAAAAAGATTGGATTAGTTCTAGTTTTGTATGTATTTCCCCAAATTTCAATACCATACGTTAAGTATGGTGTAACAAGTGAAGTATAAAGTAAATGTAATGCATTTTTACTCAAGATATACTGCAACTTGTACAAAATTTCAATCATTTTAGATACTTTCTTCTGAACATTAAAAATATGCGGTTTCCATGTCATTTTACAATCAATAATTACTCCAAGAAATTTTATATGATTTACTCTTCTAAAATATTTTTATTAATAGTAATCCTGATCTCATTATTTAACTCTTTATTACTAAATACCATGAATTTCGTTTTATTTAAATTTAGTGACAATTTATTTAAATCAAACCAATTCTTTAGTTTATACAATTTTTTCTCTACCACCAACACAAGCTCTGTAAGATTTGGGCCAGAACAATAAATTGTTGTATCATCCGCGAAAAGAATAAAATTTAAAACATCCGACACTTTGCATATATCGTTTATATATAACAAAAATAACTTAGGGCCCAAAACAGAGCCTTGCGGAACGCCACAATTAATGTGGCGTTAATATACAGTTAATATATAAACATCTTGTGAGAAAGACTGGTATTGCCAATGCAATTGGAGAATTGTATTTTAAACTTAGTAGTTATTTCATCTCACTCATTAGATGGGGTTGGTGGTTTTAATAGGAGTTGTTGGTATACATATTCAAGGGCGTACACAGTTCAGTTGTGTGTATGTTCATATGTAGTGGGCCAGTCTGGGCCAAAATGCCCAGGCCGATTTTTTTGTCCCAGTCCAGCCCTGGGCGGACTGATAATACTGGAGCACCAACTAGCGTTCATGACTTTTTTTTACAGTCTATGCCTCAGCTAATAAAAAAAAAGCAGTGAACATGAACGAAGACGCTGACGAGACCCCTTCGGTTGGTCCTGTGGATGGGAAATTTAGTTATAAGAACGAACCGATGGAAGCGTCATTAAGAGCATGGTTGTTGTGTGCAAGCTATGCAACAAGGAATTCGCATATCACATCGACCCTCAAGTTTCACCTCAACGCAAAACATATACAATTGCACTGGTCTGTTGGATTTGGTTGAACAAAAATAAACAATATTTTGTTGCTTAAGCTTATGTATTCAGTCATTATTAAATGATATACTAAAAATCCATGTGAAAAAAAATCTTCTCACTGTTCTCAGTTCAAATATTTATGCAATTAAAATGCGCTTAATTTCGATTTATTAATTACAAAGCCTCTAATTAATTAGATTTTTTTTTAATCGAGTCCCGGCCCTAAAAATAATATATATAATTTACTCACACATTCTAAGTGATCTTATGAACCACTGACAACTCCTAAATAACTGGTTTGTAAATAATGCTATACTTCATTTAGATGTAAATTGATCATTAATAAAGTATGAAAATACAATTATTAAACACATTATAGATATGCTATTAAAACAAGAAAAAAAACATTTATAGCTGTATTTACATATATACTGCTTATTAATGTATTTTAATGCTTAATAAATGGTGAATTATCAGTTCACTAATGCTTAACTAATGATTAATACCATGCAGTTATTATAAAGTTACTGAAAGTTCCTATAAGCAGCCAGTTCACCAGCAGCTCTACAGTCTCAGAGCCTCTGGGACAGCAAGGCATTCAGACAATAGAGAAGTGTGAACGACGTGTGTTAATGGGCCATTGCAGTTCTTGCTCCAGCCTACAGGAGCGCTGCTGAGTATGGGCTTAAACACACACACACTCGCAAGTCCCCACTTGGTCAAAAATGTAAAAAATTCACCAGAGCGTTTTTTAGTTGATTTTAACATGTTTTAAGGCATAACTAACAGGGGACTTGAAAAATGTCCCCACTTCCCTCGGCGGTCCCCTGTTAGTGAGTGTGTAACGACACCAAAGTCCCCTCTTAGATAGGTAGACAAGTACACACACACACACACACACACACACACACACACACACACACACACACACACACACACACACAGTTTTCCAAGACTTAAGGTAAGTGCCTACAATACATAAATATTGGAGTAAACAACTAGCCCTGTCTCCCCTACAGTAGGCTAACTGAAGTCTATGAAAACATAAGAACATAACGTAAATTTAATGTTATTAGGTTATTTGACCTCAGGATGTTGGTACTGTGACTTAAAAACAGATCATTACATCTCCGGCTAATTTAACGCGTTTTTAATAGCTCTACAAATTTGAAAAACTGCCGCTGCTCATAGACGCCCTCCTAACATAACGGGGCATTGTTGAACTTTGCACTCATTCGTCATAACTGTAGCCCACTCTTTTGTTATTGATTATATTCCCTGAAGCAAATGATGTATGAGGACAGCAGCAGTAAAGGAGTTAACGCTGACAGGACGTTCAAGGAGTCCGTGTCCACACGGTGGGCACTTCTACTACTCCTCTCTCACACTCGCGCTCACTTACTCTCAAAGGCACATGCAGCCTCCAAACTCACTTCAGTCTTTCTCAGTTCTCCACAAACAATTTGACCACTTTTTAGTAATTAATGCATTCGTTACGCAGTCTAAATGTAGTGTGAGTGATCGACGAAGACAACCCAAAATGAAGATGTTGCTTTTAAGTTTTAATACTTAATTTTACGTTTTGAACGGTAGCGTTTCTTTCAGCTTTAGCACGCGCGTAACGTCAAATCGAGTGACGCGTGACTGAACTCATATATGGGACGGTGTTCACGCGAACAGTATCCAGTGAGAATGATGACAGCTCATACTCAGCGCAGAGACTCTCAAGAAAGTTGGAAACTGAACATTGGAGCATCCAACGTTGCTTAGGGCATTTCACAACAGGAAGCCAAGCTTCGAGACGCATTGTTTAGTCAAAGCAAGCAGGAATACTCACTGATGCTCACGAGCTGGGGAAACTGTTGACTCTTTTCTTCAAAGTGGGATATTAGAATTGGAAACGGAGTATTGGCTGCGTTACTTTTGATGTCTCCGAACAGCACACCTGTAAAGGTATGTTACAGCTTGTCACCTTAAGACTTCAGTTTTCTCACGATCAAAGATAAGGAAAATATAAGTTATATCTACGTACCACGTCGAAAACCAGTACTGATAAGTTGTACAGCATTTAGACTTTACAGTAACCTGCTTAGGATATAAGTATTTTTTTATATAAAATAATAATTTTTTTAAGCCTCTCACATCACACAATATGAGTGCAAGTCAAAAAGTGTGTGGAGGTCTATCATCATCATGCCTTGGACCTCTAAAACAGTACATGTTAACATAAACATATGTATATTTTTAGAGTAGCCCTAATTAATATCTATCATTCATTTGTATCTATATCTGTTTATTTTGTACCATTATGATTTCATCTCACTGCACCCTGCATGGGGAAAAAACTAAGCTGGTCTGTTATCTGCTTTTTAGATGGATTGAATGAACATTTAGCTGGTCCGAATGGAAGATAAGTGAAACCAAATTAAAACACCTGATTGTGAGACCAAGTCAGTTTGGACCAGTTTAAGCGAGCCAGTTTATCCTGGATTAGGGTGTTTACTTTCAGCAGGGTTCTTTACACCTTGTTGCTGTTTTAAGCTGGATTTCCAGCCTAGTTTGTTCACAAAACCTCTTTGAAACCATCACAACAGACCAGCTAAAAACCTTAGGCTGCTTTAAGATGGGGGGTTTTACCAGCAGGGTATAAACTCATTCTGTAACATTGAATTACCTCACCCTTAGCTCACAGGCAGCACTGGAAAACCCTTCAACATGGGATTGCTTTCAGTATCAGATCTTTTGTCAGACATTTATAAAGTCCAAACTTTCTCAACCACTCTTACAGCCCCCCACTCTTGCTCAACAAACACTATTTTCTTTAGCAGCTGGAATGCTGACTATTCGGGGTGGACAAATAAAACTTCCCAACGAATCCCGTCTGGTCTCAATTTACTCGTTAGTTCACCCGGGAATACAACTCATTGAAAAGATGTCAGTCTTTACAAGTGGGAATCTGTATGTGCAAATATTGCCTGAGTTAAGCCCCAAATATGTCATTTGCTATTAAAAACGAAACTCAACTTCATCTTGGATCAGTGAAATCATCTGATTGATGGCACAAAAAAAACATTAATGCATCCCAGCTATTCTGAATTACATTATATGCTGCTGTTTTGCAAGTTCATGCTGTTGTGCTTTATGGTCTAAACACACACCACACAGTTGTCTTTCAGTAGAGCCGTGGGATCACGTTTATTTTCCTTTCAAACACGCAAGAGACATGTATAGGCCTACTTTAAAAACAGAACTCCTTAAGGTCTAACTTTCTTGAAAATGTCAAATTTGAGCTTTGAAAACTCTTAACTCTCCGCAAATGACACTTCAAGGTTTTCCAGCTTATTATGTTATTTAGAAAATTGGAGCCCATCTCAGGACAAAAAAATATCTTAAATATCGCCCATTTGGGTCTTTGGGGAAGAAGGGGTATTGTTTGGTAATTTTCATCATATCAAAGAGAAGAATAGGCTTTGGGATTGGTCATGGAAAGTGACAGGAAGTCAGCCAAACCCTCCCTCTGGATGTTTGGACCTTTGAATGTGAAGGTTAACATGCAAAGCTCTGTTTGCTTTGAAAGCCAACATCCCCTTTTCACCATCCACTTATTCACTTGGAAAACTGTCCTTGCTAATGCCGGCCTGCTGCTCAGTTTACCATGAATTTAGGAGACAAAGTCTCCTCCTAAGAGCTCGGAAGAAATACACCAAATCCCCATTTCCTCCCAGTGCTCCCCAGCTACAAGAATTTGGGCTGATGAGCTTCCCAGCTTCATGCTCCATGTCTCACATGGAGTCATGCGGTACAATACATGTCTGAGGTGCAAAGCGCAGCTCAAATTCTGTGTATCATTTTTGTTACAATGGCTGTGCTTTAATGCCCCAATTTTTTTTAATGTACATACTTTTTACACTCAGTATGCACATGCACATTAAATATTTTTGCACTAATTAGTGCAATTAAATGACCTGCTCCATTGTTTCACAGTCGGAAAAGAAATGTAGGAATCGGAACAAGGCCAACAAACTACTCAAGACTACAACAACCATGGATGCTCATGTAAACAAGATACCGCAACTAAGTTTAAATGAGTATAACTACATTTTTATCGCTCATAAATTTAAGAGAGCAGTGAAGACAATAGGCAAAGATGATGCAATTGTACTCCCCCTTATGGTGTTCCAAACCCGTAAGACTTTATTTAATCTTCGGAGCGACAAATGAAGATATTTTTGATGAAATCAGAGAGCTTTCTGTAATCTACATTGACAGCTATACACAACTACAATTGCTTAAAAGTCCATTTGAATTTTTTTTTTAATTTTAACGATTTAGACCAAATTTTCTTAATATAACATTTTTTTCTACACGAGAATGAACTTCATTGGTTCATGCGGAAGCTCAAACTGTTGCGTAACACACAAGAATTAACCTCATTGGTTCTTGCAAGTCAAGCGAAGCTTGTCGCTTCCGTTTACCACATCTGATGTGTGAGTTGATGAATTTGTATGTCAATAGAAGCTTAAATTCAATCTATTCATCATATAAAGCGATCTTGTCTCTTCAGAAAATTTGGACTAAACCACTCAATTCATAAGGATTAGTTCTACAATCTTTTTTTATGAACTTTTGAAGTGTCAAAGTGGTAGTTCCATAGCTTTCAATGGAGAGTACAGAAACCTTTCAGATTTCATCAAAAATCAATTGTCTTTACTCGTTCTTCATTTGTGTTCCATAGATGAACGAAAGTCTTACAGGTTTGCAACGACATGGTGAGGGTGAGTAAATAAATGATGACAGAAATTTACATTTTTGGGTGAACTGACCCTTTTAAGTATTGTATTTGCATTAGGTAGATATTCTATTAGAAAATGCATTCAATTTTGATATTTCATTTTCAAACATGAGGCATTTCTTACACTGGTGGAGGAGAAAAGAGATGGGTTTGGGAGGGGACAAGGTTGTTGACGGTGGAGTTTTCTGACTCTGTTCCTCTCAAGGAGTCTTGTGTTTGCAGTGGTGATGGCACGGGTGCGTTTGTGAGGGTTTCAAAGTGCAGGTGTGTAAAAACTCACAGCTGTGAATGCAGTCCTCTGTCTGGTGACTCAAATCTGCAGTGTCTCTCTGCCTGACTTGACACAGCGTCTTTCATGAGTAACCCGTCCCACCCTCCTGCACTTCTCTGTGACTCTTGATCACCCCAGGTTTCTATCTGCACCCCTGCCGAGTTCTTTGATCCAGGGCAAAGTTCACAACATTTCAACTTAGCCTTGCCTGTATCATTTATCCAGTTGTCTTTATCTCTTATCTTTGATCATTAGAGACATTCCTGCTTGTAATATGTAACTTTTTAACTTCCCAAACTCGGTACACTATGCATGACAGAGCGTTTCCTTTTCCTTGCTACTAAAAGGTCCATTAGCCCCCCTTTCCCATCGCTGATAAATTGATTGGGCTGCATGCTAGTTTGTTACCTTGAGCTTTATGGGCAGACACTTATTATTTTATAGACACCATTTGTAGAGCAGCTTTGCTTCTATAATTAGTTGCATGTACTGAGACAAAGGGGATTTCCCTGGTGGAGCAGGCAAGAGCTCAAGGCTTTTTTTAATAGCCCCACTCTTCACTACACCCGATGACACTTTTATTGAGCCTCAGGAACTTGGATGTTTCAGCCCTCTCGGCCAAAACTCTTTCCCCTCACTGTATTTTCTCTGGGGAATGATTGCCTCTCTGTGCAATCATGACACATTTCTGAAGAACCATGAATATGAACCATGAATATGGACTTTTGAACTGTATAAACTGCTTTCCATTGGTCATTGTTAGGTCACCGGCCTTGTTTCATAGTGTGAATGTCAGGAAATACTCTGGTTTTACTGGCCAGTTGGAGTTGATAATGGCCAGATTTTGACAATCTCACATGGACTGCATGTGTCCATGTGAGATCGTCAAAATGAATGGGTAGTTTTAACCCAACTTTGGGTCAAATATGGACAAATCCAGCCATTGGGTTACAATTTTTTAATTACATTTTTAACCCAACGTTTGGGTTTGTCCATAGTTGACCCAAAGTTGGGTTAAAACTAGCATTTTTAGAGTGCAGCTCTGCACGAATGGGTCATTTCAAAATGTAGGCCAATTTTGTGCATGAAATGTGTTGAAGATTAACAAATATAAGGGGACACATTATAAACCTCATCAGCATAGCTGGTGAATATTAATTATAATTTGTAAGCAAAATTAAACTCTTGAAATATGAAATTCTTTTTCCGCAAAAAGTGGGTGTGATTTTCTTTTCATGTCTTCAGTTCTAATTGTTAGTCCACCTTAAGCCAATTATTTGTTCTTAGAAACCATTTTGTCATTACCATGTTTTACAACCCCCACTTATTATTGTTCAAGAAGGTACAACATTGAACAAAGACTTGAAACAAAAGACTCCTCAAACTCCTCTCAACCTCACGTAATTGAGGACCACATACAGTTTGACCTGCATTACTGTTCCTCCCTCCTCACTGCGACATTGCTTTCATGCCCACTGCATTTCCTCACCAGCATTTGTGTAACTATGGGTGACTACCCCTACTGAGCATTATCCATTGTGTTTGGGAAGCCTTTGTTGTCTAACTGAAAAAGGAAAAGACTAAAAAAAATATGGTGCTGGTGTTGGGCAGCCATGTCGGAGGGGGAGTGGAGAGGTGGATGGCAGAGCTGTGGTCCGGCTCCACGGGGAAATGTGAAGGTCAGCTGGAAAACAAACAATAACCTCCAAAACTCTCAGTTTAAGACAATAGAGCTTCAGGGCCAGAACTGACCCCCGTCACATGGGCTACAATAGTCACGCTCCTGTTTATTTATGTGTTTGTGTGCATCAGCATTGACCTCACTTTGTGAAAAGATCAGCTTTTGAACATCAAAACACATCTTCTCCACTCTCCACACAAACATGCACTTCTTGTGTGTGAGATACTTAGATAGAATGATGTTGCATTCGGTGTAAGCGTGTTTACAATAGTGAGCTCTGTTAGCAATATGAATTCATCTGTTGATAATTATTTACAGTTCCGTGTCAAAGCAATAGTTTTAGGTTGAAACCAGAAGCTTTGCTCTTTTTTTGTTGCAAAATATCTATGAAGAAAATTAATAAGTATGTGAGAGATTTAAGAAAGCCTAAATTCAATTTATTTATCAAATAAAGCGATCGAATTTGGACTAAACTGCTCAAATCATGGATTAGTTTTACAATCTCTTTATGAACTTTTTGAAGAGCCAAAGTGGTAGTTGAGTAGCTGTCAATGGAAAAAACAGAAACCTCTCAGATTTTATCAAAACTGTCTTCATTTGTAAATGAACGAAAGTCTTATGGGTTTGGAATGGCAATGAGGGTGAGTAATTAATGACATAATTTTCATTTTTGGGCTCACCTATGTGTCAGTGACTGACTCTTTTATATTACAATACAAAAAACAGTGAACTCACTCCCACAGTAACATATAATTATCATCCAGCTCTACTACCTTTTAGAGATGCAAAAGAAAACTCCCCAAAACACTCACACACATGTGCAGGCAAGAACACGCACACAGCTGTCCAGTGTAATAGGACTCTGTCAGCGGGGTAGTTTTGTCTCTATTGCTGTCAAAGTGCGGAGCGTTCGGATGCACCTGGAATGATGCCATGAGAGATGCGACTGTAATGAAAATTACAGGGTGGAAAAAAGCCTCTCGCTCTACATTTTTCAATATGACAAAGTTGCAATTTTGCATGAGGAGGACGTCAGGGTGTTTGGAAGACGAATGGAGACTGGCTGCTCTGCATTAGGGAGAGTGGAGTCTCGCTAACCTCATTCTAACCTCTGCGCTGGCTAACCAGATGTTGGCTCGCATCCACTCGGCCTCAAAAATACTTGCTGTCCCCGCCGCCCACCTCCCCCCGGTGGTAACATTTATTCGCTATTAGAAACTGTTGTCGTAAAGCGAGTTAATTTTTACCACAATTCCATTTCTGGAATTTGGGAATTTCGCAGCAAACAAGCTCTGGAGCCAAAAAAATACATGGGGTTTTAACCGCAAAGGCTTGTAGTGTTCTACAACCTTCATGCTTGCAGTTACAGGAAGTGAGATGGCTTTAATGAGGCAGAGCTGGAAATGGGCCCTAAAGGACCCAGGGGACTGCGGTGAGAAACCTCTGAAGGACAGTGCATGGAAAAGTGCCAGGGTAATTTTTAATGTAGTCTGGTTAGTAGACATCCAAAACAGATCATTACGCTTGGCTTTGAGAGTGTTTCAATGCAGCAGAAGTATGGAGACAAACAGAGCTGCCTAAATAACAGAAGCGAGCCTTTATCACACCCAAGCTGACTCTGTCGCTCAATGGGTATTTGATCCAAATCTTCACATCAGGGTTTGTCAATTGTTTGATTGTGACCAAAAAATAGGTTGCATGTCTGTTCTGACAGGAGGGGGTTGGATGCCGAATAGGGATGCACCAAATTTTGGTGGCCGAAAATGGCGTTTTCGGTTTATATTTATAAGTCAAAAAGCTTGCAGGTACACAAACTGTAAAAAAAGCAGTGCATGCTTAGCCTATAGCATTTTGAATATCAATCCTGATGATCACTTTCTTTATTCCACGCCGCTCATGTTAATATTAAAAGCCATGGAAGACTCAAAGACTCAGACTCACAAAGCTGAACAACCAATCAGAGTCCTCTGTCTCACCAACAGCCCGACGCTGATTCTACATGCTGAATCGGCACACCGAAACACACTCCGGAAAAACTACATCAGGCGACACTCAAAAACAGCCCGATGTTGCCTTGTGTAGAAACTTGGGCTTTAGAAAAAGGATTGTCTATATAAAAAGGATATAAATATATTACTATTTAGTAAAACTATTTAAAACAATTTAAAACTATGAAAAAAAGAGAGAGATTGTCTTTATAATATTCTTTTTCTGTTTTATTTTTAGGATATTTTAGAATATATGTGGGTAATATGTATTTATTTAATTTGAGAAAACTCCTTATTGAAAATCATAAATCAAGTTGAAGGAAAAGACCTGTGTCCATTTTATTGCTAGACATCAGAGCAAATTGAGAAAGTAGAGATTCTACCATGCTGTGAACTATTTCTGTCTTTTTCTGAGTTATGAAGGGTGTCTGAATAGCTAAAAGCTTATCCCTCAGTTGTTCAGCTCTCCCGCTGGTGTTGTCCTCTGAGTGACGGGCAGCAGGGAGCCTGTGGAGTGAAGGCCGGGGCAGGTGACACGGGAGACGGCTTGTCGGGACAGGACACATGCTCAACATTTGGGAAAGAGAGCTGCAGATTTTTGTGTCTGTGCCAACCATTACATATGTTTAATTTTCTTTTATTCTTTAAGAGAGAGAGAGAGGTAGAGAAGCCCCCCACCCCACCTACTCAAACAGCATCTATCGCGTTTCAGCTCTTTAATTGCTTTGGCTCAGACCTTTGCTATTTTTTTCCTCTATATATTTTTTTTTCATTGTCTTCCTCTTCTCATGAAAGACGCGGAAGGCACTTTAGAACTGATAAAGAGAGTCAGTTTGCAATAGTTTTTCTCAGTCTAAACTAAAGGGAGTATTAGTACTTTGTTGGATGGTAATAATTCTGACTTATGTCGGAGCTGACTGTGTAGTAGAGATTTTTATTATTTTATTTTGTTTTATTTATTTATTTTCCAAACAAACCTTCTTACTGCAATGTGTTAGTCCCACAGCTATTTTAGTTGGGGTTAACATTTTATTTTATTTTATTATGTTTTATTGTGTTTTTGTTCTGTTCATGCTATAATGCTGATTCTGTTATTCTACTATATGTGAAATATATACATTTACTGTAATTATTTTCTGCACATATTTTTCACTACATTTGTCACATAACATTGCTTAAAGATCAACCGAAAGTCTTTTGTTTTTAACAGTTTGCATTTGTTTTGCAGATTTCTACTTCCTGTGATAGAATCACACCATGCCTGAGGGGGCGGGCCGCGACAGCCAGAAAAAAAACAACAACCAAGGTTAGATGCCAATCAAATAGTATCAGTGTTTGAAAATCTGAACATGGTTATGTAATATCCTAATCAAAAGCTACTGACAGGAACTGCTCATTCACGGTCTGAATTTGACGTTGCTTTTGTCAACTTCTACGTTGTGGTTGAGTTCAAAACCACAAACGAGAGCCTGATAATGATGAAAGATACATTTTCCGAGATATTGCACAATTTTCAATCGATATAAGGCATCAAGCATGCCATAGATAAGAGTGTCTGTTAGGAATGAAATGCTAAGGGTCATCCGGTTCAGAATTGGACAGGGTGGTCTCCCTCTTGATATTTTTGGACCTCAGACTCTCCTACTTTACAAAGAATGGTTGCTTACATTATCAATTCAAACAAACTGAACAAGTTGGTTGGAAATGTGCTGACAATCACAATTGTTTAGGGTTGGTCACCTCTCTTTGGATTGGGCTCTCTAAACAATTCGTGATTGAAATAGTTCTGATCATGCAATAGAGACCAAGGGGCACGTTTATGTTTGGAAGGAATTTTTTTGTGTCAGATAGAATCTGGACTATGTCAAGTTGCTGTCAGTATGACATCCCAAAAGAGCAATATGTCACTTTTAATATACGCTCAAAATATATGGATTTAAAATCACTTATCAACCTCAAAATAATACAAAGATCATGAATACAAACGTCTTTGACATTTGACCCAAATCATATCGTCGTGACTTCAGCTGGCATGTGATGAGGTGATGTTGAGCCGTGAGCACCTTTGCAGGGAACTGCTTATATTTGGTTTCACCACTTCCTCTAATGGGGCCGAAAGGTACAGACTTGAACGGCACACAGGAAGTATCTCAACAGACGGATGAGCCCAGATATGTTTATACAGATAAACACTCTCTGCTTGAGCTCAGCCCCTACCTGAGTTATCTATGTTATCTATGAGACGTTCTTTTAAATGTCTGTGTTGTAATTTAAGGATGTATTCCTATAAATAGGTAGAGTAGACTTTCAGTAAGTGCTGTGGTCAAGCTCAGGCAAGTTTTGATACTGTTTTCTGCTCTGTTCCCATAAAAAATGATGTCATTATCTGTAGGAGGAGGATGTTATTAGAGAACTATCTTGTGTTGGTCAGGAATGGAAAGCATCATCACTCCAGGCTTCAGTCACATGATTCTTCAGAAATCATTTTTAATATGCTGCTTTGCTGCTCAAGAAACATTTCTTATTTTTGTCATTATAACAATGATTATTATATTATCCTTATTATTTATTGAAAACAGTAGATTTTTTTCAGGAATCTTTGATGAATAGAATTTCAAAAGAAAAACATTTTGATCAAAAAATATTTTGTTACATTATAAATGTTTTTAATGACTTATGCATTCTTGCTGAAAAAAGTGTTAATTTCTTTGACAAAAATGACCCCAAATTTATACTGTATATGTTTAAACATCACTTGTGATGTCATCAATCGTGAGCTGTCCTTTGGAAGAGAAGAGAGATATGGGTGGTGGTCATCATCCCATCTACATACATTTATTTTAGTACTGAAAAAACAAAAAAAAACAAAAAAAACAAAGCAAAAAAAAAACCCAAATAAATAGATAGATAAATAAATAAATAAAAATATGAATACAAAAATAAATAAAAAATTAAATGAAATTGAAGCCTTGCATTGTGACAATGAATCACAATGATTTTGGGGTGAAATTTTGCCTGTATATGTGAGATCTCACCCAAATCTCAACCAAAAAAATCAAACCTAATTCAGAGGTTCATCATATGTTGTTGTCTTGTTTCTTTAACGCATAAGTGTATTTTCCAAGCAAGGACTGAAGAGTTTGACAACTCTCAAAATAACGTGGTTTTGCGCCCTGCACGCTAATACACCTAGACAGGAAATCTCTCTATGAGAGAGAAGTGTGCACATGTGAACACACACATTTCATGCACGTTAGATACATTGCATGGTTCCTGTCTGCGTTATGAAGGGTGAGGTCCATTTAGTCTCTGCTGGAATAAGATTCAGTTTCAGAATTCATTTGGATACCGGATGTCATTTGGACAGTGCTAGCCAGTTGCTTTGAATTAGTTATGAGGACTAACTAAACTACAGTGAGAAGACATAATTCACAGCTAACCGCACTGGTGGTCATTCCAGCTGATGTTGCCGTGCCTTGCGGATCAGGTATGTGATTTCTTGCTCTTGGCTTTCACTCATTTTGCCAAATGACCTTCACAGACTTCCATGATCTACATAACAGGCCTGATTCTCTGATAGGAGTTAGATGATTCTTGTTAGTCTCTTTATTGAACTTTGAGTGACTAAAAAAAAACAGTGAGCATGAAATTTATGATGAAAATACCACAATTACTGGAACTCATAATAAGTACGTATCACTAACTAATAATTTATCACAATTATGGGCATAAAAAGACCAAATTAAGGTGTTTTTTACGTTATTTCCAAGTAGATCTATTTCATTATGAAAATATTACGAGGAAATGAGCTCTAATGTATTATTTCAGATTTCCAAAACATCTGCACAATTAATAGAGTCATTTCATTTTCCATTAGGAATCATATAATTATGAAGAACAGTATATGTGTGTTGGCTCACGCACATGTTCATCAGTCTTATCTGGAGATGGTCAGGTTTTATTGGAAATCTCAACCGATTTATCCACTCTTAATTCGTGCTGTGCGCTTAGAGGCTTTTTGAACTTAATGTTGGGGATAACAAAATCCATAGGCATAATGTTTCGGGTAAAACAGTCCCCTGCCTTTGGTTCTTCCATGCCACATGAAAGTTTCTGACTTCATGCCCAAGTAGTGATGGAGTACCCTGTCTGTTTGCTTTTGTTCCAGAGGATGCACTGGGTTTACGTTGTCACACTTCATGCATCTGTCTGGCTGAATTTATGCCGTGCTTTGAACGTGCTCCTGAATGCTTGTGTATCCAGTACAGCTGATATTGAGATAGGCATCAAACGAAAAGCAAAAGATGGCCGTAGCGGTGATGTATGTCTGGCTGTAGAGGATTTTACAATCAGTCCCTCCACATTTTTTCCCCATTTTCACATTTTTTCATGTGCGACTGCCGCCATAGTGGTGCTGATCTTGGATTGGGGCCAGCAAAAGATAAACACATGCCTTCGTGTACTTTATGAGCGCGTCTAAATCAAATTTAGGCAAGCAATATTACAGAAGTGCTTTCAAACCTTCTATGAACACAAGGAACGGGAGAAAAGGCTGCAAGCGGTTCCGGCTAATGGTCAGATGGAATAGTTGATGGATGATAGGCAGACTTGGCGAGGAAGGGAGTGCAGAGAGTAACAGTTGACTGCGTCGCCCCTGCCTGCTAGGTCAGAGGAAATGGAGGATTGTTCGTCTCTGCCGGCTTGTGCTCTGTAACTGGGCCACTATTGTGATGTGTACAGCCCAGCATTCAGCCTTTAAACAATGCCAATCCTTACAGCGCTCTGTACCGGGCTGTGTTCTCTTGCCTTGACGACCAGACTGTTGTGTCCAGTTTTTGATATGGCTCTTCAGGCAGAACGTCACTGTTTTGATTTAGATGTTCTGGTCGTTTTAGGGCACTGCTGATTGAATGACTTCTGTGTTCGCAGGTTTAATCGTCCAGCAAATTGCAGTCAGGAAGTTGTGATTTTTGTTTCCTGCCTATACAGGGCGTGCACAGCACCGTTAGATTGACAGCCTCTGCGGGTTTGCTGCAAACCATTGTGATGTGGTTTTGCACAGTCACACCTTTGAGGCCCATTGTAGGCACTTATAATTTGTTCTTGTGCTTTACTCTTGGTTTGTATAGAACTTAATTTAAAAATACATATATTTTTGAAATATATATATTTATATTTTAGATGTAAATACAACTTATTTTCTGTTCATTTTGTTCATTTTTCTTAAATAAAATGATCAAACTTTATTATATTATATTAAAGGTGCATAGCGCAAGTCTCTGAGTTTTTGCCGAACTATGCCCCCTCTGGCGACAAGCGAAACTGCAACCAGAGATGTGCACGCTCATGGACCACACGCACACGCAAGCATGCAAGAGCTGTTCATAACCAAAGGAGCATCAGCCGCACAAATCTTTTGTTACAGTCATAATGTCTTCAGAGGTAATGAAGTTATAAATCTGCAAGTCATTTTAAATATATGAAAGGAAAGGCATTTCAGTAAATTATGTGTAAGGGGAACACAGGGCTAAAAAAAAAAGAAAACTTCGTGTTCTCCAAATCTTCATGTTGAACTGTTTTATGTGCTTACTGTATCCACTTATCATTATATTATTATGGAAACACGTTCATGAACAATATAAGTTATCACTGTGAATAGCATCCCATTTGAGCCCTAGAGCAGACCGGAGATCTCTCCATTTGTTGAAAGCTTCCCGATGTTGACTCTCGTCTTATTCCGACGCCTGGCACTAGACAAACGTTTTATTTTCTTTGTCTTACGTGGAGTTTGCGATGGGGTTTGGAATGAACTACAAGCCGGTCTCTTTGAATCCATCTTCTAGTTTTGTCGAAAGTTAACTCAAGTTTTATTGCTCGAGTTGTCTTATACGGAGAATGGCGGTGAATACACAAACCTGCCAGACATAGCCAGGAGCGTAAACGCGCATAACGTCACGCTCTGTCTCAAATTCCGTCCTTATTTATTTTACTGTACAGGATTATAGAGGCAATCGCAGTGATCAGAGAAGAATTATATTACATTATATTAATGACATTTAAATAAGAAATATAAACTCAGAAAACCAGAGAAAATGAGACCATAAAAAAGTAAATATAATTGGAATGGGAACTGGTAGATGAAAAATGATAATGAGTTTATATTAAAATCTCTGATTCATGGACAGACTTTGGTTTCATGGCAATTTTGAGTTTTGAGATCTCTTCTGAAACTCTAGAATAGCCAAAGTCTCCATTTGCTCTACATTGCTGTTTTACAATGTACATTTTTTTACTTTTAATCACCAAAAATGCTGTATTATGCAGTGATCACTAGTATTCTCACAGCAACTGGTTTCTGTCTCTCTCTGCTGCAGCTGCCAAGCGCCCCTCCTCTGTGTCCTCGCTGAGTGGGATTGTGAGCCGCATGGCCTCCTCAGGCGGTGCGTCCCGTGGGAGCTGCACCTCTGTTAACACGGTGTGCTCCGACAGTGACCGCGGTGCCAGTCTCAGCTCCTCTGCCTCATCTGCCTCGCTGCAAGATGGACACTCGTCTTCTTCCTCCTCATCGCTCCCCTACGGAGCCATGCCGGTTTACCCTGGGCCACAACGAAACGGTTCAGACATCAGCCTGGACCTCACCCCTCTCTCCCTGCTGACGGGAGCCAGTCCCCTCCCCGCCTCCTCAACACCACTGCACAAACTCACTCGCCTGGAGAGGGTGGCGCTGGAGATAGTGGAGACTGAACAGGCCTACGTGAGGGACCTCAAGAGCATTGTGGAGGTAAGGATCAGACACTCTATGTACCATGTTTCATATTATAAGAAAATATGTATAAAATGGAATTTGCAACCAAATAAACTTTAAGCTAATGTTAAAACAAATTTGAAATAATGTTTCTTATAACCTTTTAAAAGGCTAGTATACCCCTACATGCTTGTCATTATTTAATCATTATCCTGTTCTAAACCTGAATATATTTGGAAGACACTCTTGAAAAAAAATGTGTCCATACAATGAAAGTCCAATGCTGTTTTCAACCCATTTACATTTTTGGTGAGGTGTGCTCTTTTGACATGGCCTATTAAGTCACCACTGAGATAACTAGAAACTGTATAGCAACCCACTAATAACACTACACCTAGCAACAGCCTAGAAACCACCCAGGACAACCTAGCGAGCATCTACCAACACCCTAGAAACCATCCAGAACAACCTAGTAAATATCTATCAAATGGTCTAGAAACCATCTAAAACACCCCCTGCAAACAGCTTGCAATGGCCTAGAAACCACCCTGGACCAGTGAGCAACATCCTAGAAACCACACAGAACAACCTAGTAAATATCTAGCAACACCCAAACCACCCTGGAACAACCTAGTGAGCATCTATCAATGGCCTAGAAACCACACAGAACAATAGCAAGCTTCTAGACACCCATTACCACCCAGAACAAACTATAATATCTATTAACGGCCTAGACACCACCTAGAACAACCTAGCGAGCATCTAAGAACAACCTAGAAACCACACAGTACAACCAAGTAAATATCTAGCAACACCCAAACCACCCCGGGACAACATAATGAGCATATATCAATGGCCCAGAAACCAGCCAACACCCTAGAGAGTATCTAGCAACACCCTAGATCCAAAACACTTCCGGCGAGCAACTAGCAATGGTCTAGAAACCACCCAGAACCACGTTGCCCCTAGCATGGTGATGGTTTACATGGGCAAGAACCATTATTTTAAATGCCCAAATGTTATTATAAAATCCAAATGTTAAACACATATAGGGTGACTTTGAAAAAGACCCACTGAATAGTATTACTTTTGCTGGTCCGAACCCACCCAGGTGGTGTTACATTCTTTTGAGCTAGGCATTGCTCAGTCATGGAAGCTCATCCAGATCAGCATTTCAACCATCTCTTCACCCGCTGCCCACCCTGTATGTAATCCAGGACTCATATAACAGACAGCAGAGAAAGCCGAGCCCTTTCTCTGTGCCAATGGCGATTTAAAATGTGATCATTGTGAGATTCTGTTGTGCCATTCATCACGCATTCAGGTGGAGCAAAGGAGGTCATGGCACTGGATGAAAGCAACAATAAATTCATACTGTCAGTTCAAACGCATCTCTGCGCTGCTTTCCGCATGCACAGCCCTGATCCGGGACAATAAGAAGGCTGTTGCTCAGCATTTCAAATGCATGCACGCACAAATCAGAGTATGCTGTAAATATAAGAGACTCTTTGTGGGCGCTTCTCAACACATTCATCATATTTCCATGCACAGGTTGCTTGAAGAACAGGCCTCCACTGTGACCTTCAGCAGGGGTCACTGATAAGCACCAATATGTTATGCCCCGTTTACTCTGGCAGAGATTTAATCTCTCCCATTGCAGACTGATCTCATGGAATGGCGTATGTATGACACGCCAATTCGTATTTCCAATTCGCACAAAAAGTATTCTCGTCGCTTGATAAACTTATAGTTGAGCCACTGTAGTCACATTTAACATTAAACATTTAAAATAAACATTTTCTTCATTGATTTTCTGGGCCGTCAAGTGTCATTCCTTTAGGAGCCTATGTGGTAGTGATTCGGCTCTCAAATTTAATAAAAAAATATCTTCATTTGTGCTCCGAAGACGAACGAAGGTCTTACAGGGGTGGTACAGCATAGGGGGTGAGTAATTAATGACTTAATTTTCATTTTTGGGTGAACTAACCCTTTAACGTTACATTACTTTATATATATAAATATATGACCTACCCCAACCCCGTCCCTAAACCTACCCGTCACTGGGGTTAATAGCATTTATGAGTCTTCCCCTACCATCCTAGGAAAAAAAAAAAAAATATGACTTTTGCTTCGTTTCTCTCAGACATTTAACGGCGTGTACATACACGCGGAATCACTCGGACATTTAACGGCGTAGACATACACGCGGATAGCTCAAAATGCGTATAGATAACGCGCCACTTGACTTGAAAGTGAATATTTTCTAAATTCTTTGAAAGTATTTGGGATATGCTGGAGCTGACTTGACTCTTGCATTGTCAGAACAAGATCTTGACCAAACATTGATGCCCCTTTTGATAAAATAATTATTCTTCATACTTCCTCCCAATCATTCTTTCACAGTTTGAGTCTGATGAATCTTGGCATTGTCATGCTGGAATATGGCCACGATGTGTCTTCCTACATGTTTGTTTAGGAAATGAAAATATACACACTCCATCAATTAGGCTTAGAAGAACTGTTGCCAAACATATAACATGCTAGAAACATAATAATCACTGCAATAATGATCTAATTAAAGTATTTGCCAATTTAAATCCAAACAGCAACTTTTTTTTGGCCGGGCAGAGTATTTTGCTTTCTGGAATTTGAGAAATGTTGAGATTAATCACAGATTCTACCAATAATACTTAATAAAATATTGATACACTGTCAACTTAAACCAAAAAGGAAAAGGTAAGTGGAAAAAGTAACACACTAATGCCCAGTTTTACAGACAGGGCTGCCTTAGATTAGTTCAATTAGGGTATTTTAGTAGCTTTTAGTGCCTCAAAAAAAAATGGTGTGAGTCTTTAAAGATATGTCAGTGCAAGTTGCTTTCAGTTAAAACAGCTCAAACATGCTCTTTAATCTGGCACTAGGCTTAAGCCTTGTTTGTAAAACTGGGGGTGAGTGAGTTTAGTTTAATTTGTGCTGATGTTTCTTTGAGCCTAGAGAGTGTTGAAATTGGTCTGTCATGAGTCACGGGTCATTGTGTTTGTGGTCTACTCTAACTCTACACAGCCTTTGAACTCATGGGAATCTTTCCAGTGCCGGCCATCAACAGGTGGGCGCGTATATTCTGTATAATATGTGTCTGTTATCCTTTGTATCTGTGACTGATTGATTGCAGAGGATCATGGGTACATAGGCTGGAGGTTGGGGAATGCCTGAAATGTATCTCCTTTTCCCTTTTGCTGATGGTTTATTTGAAGTGGAGCTTTTCATAAGCCAATAAAAAGAGAAGGCATGCAAGCTTATGCTGCTTTATGAAAAGATGCCTTCAGATCAAATAGCCAGAAATTGGTTGCTGAAAGACGCAGATCATGCCGAGGAATGCTGCTGTTTTATCAATCTGTGGTCTCAAAATGGAGGCTGAGTGGTGGATGGTTTCGAGGACATAGTGCTGACTCTGGGATATGCGTGTATGATGTCTGATTGGAGACATACTTAGCCAGGCTCTGCTTCTATTAGTAAGAGCCGTCTGGTTTTGATAGAAAGTGTAACAAAGAATGATGTCAAGCTAGCTGGAAACGAGCTCAAAGTGCACGACTATGCTGTGTCTTAGTGTTTTGCCTGTTGTTTGTGTCGGTTATATTATTAGTTTGTGAAGTGTCGCTTGGTGACATTCAGGTGCAGTGGGTTCAGCTCCAGTGTGTGCTGATGTGGGGAGCGTTTAGGGGAGCAAGACTGAGAGATTCTCCCTTTTTGTTTTAGCTGAATTTCAGCCAAATAGGACAGGAAATTGGGGGACGAGGGGGGTTTGGCTGTAGCCCCCATTCTGGGGCACAAGCAGAGATGGAGAGGGGCTGCTCACGAGAGAGAGAGACCAACTCCTGTTCCAAACTCCAAACTGACCTAGTTTCTCAGACAAAGACTCTGAGAGTGTGTTTAACTTCTGTTACAATCTCTCTCTCTCTCTCTCTCTCTATTGTTTGCCACCTTTCCAAACTTCCTTTCAGAGATAACATCTTTCTTTCTTTCTTTCTTTCTTTCTTTCTTTCTTTCTTTCTTTCTTTCTTTCTTTCTTTCTTTCTTTCTCAGCTTTTCTATCTGTCTGTCTGTCCCTTCTTTGCTTTTCTTTTGTGTTTGTCTGTCTGTCTGTCTTTTTCTTTTCTTTTATTTCCATCTCTGTCTGTCCATTTTTACTCCTATCTATCTATCTATCTATCTATCTATCTATCTATCTATCTATCTATCTATCTATCCATCTATCCATCTATCCATCTATCCATCTATCCATCTATCCATCCATCCATCCATCCATCCATCCATCCATCCATCCATCTTCTTCTCTTCTCTTCTCTTCTCTTCTCTTCTCTTCTCTTCTCTTCTCTTCTCTTCTCTTCTCTTCATGTTTTCTCTCCTTCTGGTCCATATCTCATATGTGAACATTTATGTTTTTCTTTCTGCCAGACTAACTGTCATAACACACTTCGCGTACGCTCTAGTAAGTCATTTCAGTAAGACGGCATCTGCCAAGAAAATGTGCTCATAACTTATGGTCCCTTTGTCTGTGGCCGGTCCCGCTTGTCTCACACACTCTCCTTTCATAACTCACAATGTAATCCTCAGATTTCCCCTCACCTCCTGGATTTTCACTCTTCCCCGAGTAGCTGTGTCATCACTCATCTCTTCATCTAGCGCTCCAGTTTTGCCAAGTGTCACGCTCATGAGCTCCATTCGTTCAGGGGAATTCACTCCAGCCTTTTGCTGTGTGTAAATCAGGGTAATTACAGTGTCCATGTTCCCCTTGGCTTGTAAAGGTGCTGAATGCACCAGTCCCTTATTTTCTGGTTTATGTTGCCCCCACTTCAGCATGTTTGCTTTCCCAGACACCTTGTGGCTCTGGAAACAAACAGAAGAGGAAAAAAAGACCCCATGTTTTACAGTCCAGGAATGCAGAGGCACAAGGAAAACGGGAGGGTGACAAAGAGAGCCCCTTGTAAAGTCAGTCTACTGTCTCACTATACTCATAATGTGTGTTTATTTGTAGCTATTTGCTGTAACTTTCAGTTAAAATCTTTTTTTAGTTTGTTTTGCCTGGTGGCCTTCTTTTCTTGGCTCCAGAGTCTGTAGTTTCTCTCGGGAGATTGTAGGGGCCATTCTTGGCACTTTCCCGCACTATAGTCCGTTGCAGTCTGGTGGAATTTGTTTGTCTATGATGGTTTGTTGGTTTTGCTCCCAAGGCTTCCTAATTAAGGGTTAATGAGGCCAAGCACTTATAAACTGATAACTGATATAATGTTGATAGAGACCGCTGTTTAACTCTGCCAGCTTACTGTAACAGCCAACCACTCCTGAGACCATTGGCGTCAGATCTGTTTTGGTTTTTGGTCTCTGTTGGACACAAAATAGGTTGTAAAATATGATTAACTTTCTAATTTAATACAAAATGCATTTTCCTCATTAAGGCAGGAATGTACTGTATCTTCATAACAGCCCCATTATGATGATTATAGTGTTGGAAAACCACTTCAAGCCAGAAACCTCACTGCCACAAGGTTGTTGGTTTAGTAGAAGTGATAGTTAATTATTAAGCTGTGGGTTATCATTCTGGGTTAATAAAACAAATCTCTTGTTTTCTTATAAATTTGTTTTCATGATGAAGCACCTTTTGAAGGATTTAGCGGAATTACAAAACATAATTTTATAAAAGGACTCAGATTCATTCTAAAATGTTTATTATTTGAGCTGTGAGTTGAAAGTCATTCACTGTGACTCCCTTACCGTTTAATCCAGTGAAACTGCCTGACTATAAAGCAGTGTAAACCAACCACTCCAAACCGAGAACGTTTGGTGACCCCCTGCTTCTCTTTTCCTCAGCAGGCGAGGTGTTTTACATGGCATGCGGATGAGACAGTTTTCTCATGAGACCAGCTTATGACTTTTTTAAGGTCAAAGTTGAAAGAGAGGGGCTCCTTATGACCACTGTATTAGTTGCATGCTTTGCTTTTCAGTACCGCTTTGTATGTTTACACTGAAGATCATTGAGAGGCTCAAGTGTGGCATCCACGGTAATTACGTTACAGTGATTTTTGGTGTCAAGTGATCATTCAGGGGTGAGAGTCATGTCCTGCTGTGAAGGACCCATTTATAGTCTCTTTGTAGTCTATGAATTATGAATCAACTCAGTGTTTACTGTGGAAAAGGTGATGAAATAGAGGTATTTTACTAATTCCACAGGACTCAGGAATTTTGTGAATCGCAAAAAAAAAGCAAAGCAAATTGAAGTGTGGAAATACTTTCTATGAGGTCATCAAACTCAATATTTCTCGATTTCTTTCTTTCAGGACTATCTAGGCTGCATTATTGACTGTGGAGACTTGCCTCTCAAACCAGAGGAGGTCAGCACCCTCTTCTGCAACATCGAAGACATCTATGAGTTTAACAGGTTGGTTTCTTCTTCCTTTTAAAGCTCTGGTGGTCAAGATGTCTGTCTGGGCGATAGCGGTGTCTGCTGAATTGTATTCCGACACAATGACTGGCCCACCGTGAGGGACTATGTGCAGATGTCCGTTTCTGATACACTCCAGCAGACTGTCCCTGGACTGCTGAAGTTGTTCTGGAATGCTCTTCATGAGACGTTTTCTCAGCCGTCATCATAACTTAAGCTCTTTTTAAAAGATGTGCAGCATATGGTTTATTACATTGCGAGTTCATGCATGGTCCACCGAACAATTTAGGCAGTCTTGTTATGTGTCTGCTTCACACTGTTTATTGCAAATGACACTCTGTGTTTATTTCAGACTCGTACGCATGGTTGAGCCCAGAGGTTTTTAATTGGTGGGTCGCTGCTACTTGCCACTCAAACACCCTGTTTTTACATAATTTTCTTTCTTGGTCCATTCCACTCCACATCGCCCCTAATGACATTAGGCAGTGTTGAAATTGAACATGGCGCCCACCTCCTTACTGCCAGTTCTGGTGGGAAATCAGCTTGGCTGTTGAAAACAGAAAATCTTAAAAACTCTTGGGTGTCCTCACAACCTCATTTAATAAAATTTCCTGTTATAAAATGGCAGAGTATTTGTTCCCATTACAGCTGCTTTTGGCCTCTGCTTGAGATTATATTGGCATGTAAGGAGCAGAATGAATTCGTTTTTTTAAGAAAACCATTCTTAAGGGGAAAGTTTACCCATAAATAAAACGTCTGTCATTTTTGGTCAGTAAGATTTTAAAAAAATATGTTTTTTAAAGTCTTATGTCCACCAAGGTTACATTGATTTGAGCCCAATTTTTTTTTAAAGTAACATGAAATATTATTACACATTTTTAAATGCAATGTAATTGTGTCACATGATCCATCAGAAATTAATGTAATATGCAGATTTAAATCTCAAGAATCATTTATTATTATCAATGTGAAAACTGTTGTGGTTCTTAATATACTGAAAGAAGTCATATACACATTTAGGATGGCTTGAGGGTGATTAAATCATGGGGCAATTTTCATTTTAGTTTAAAATGAAAATTGCCCCATGATTTAATTTCTTTGCAAAACAAAAAAAATCTGAATAATAGTCATACCAAACTTTGAACAGTAGTGTATGGAGTATATCCCAATTAGGCTGAAACCATATGCTGTATAATTACACGATACACGATAGACTGAAATTTAGGTCACTCACAAATCAAGACATTAATTTAAGTAAATAATGGCTAAAATTTGGTCTGTTCATCCCTTAAAGCTTTGTGTTTATGGAAAACAGGGAGTTGGAAATTATTCAATATTTCTCTGATTGTGTTCAGAGAAAGAATAACATTATGTGGGTTTGGAACGACAACGACGTTGTGCGTAAATGACAGAACTTAAATTTTTAAGTGAACAATCCGTTTAAATCAGCTCTCATGCATACCTCTGTAGATGTTAAGGCTAAATAAAAGGACTGACTGACCTTGTTTTTCCCCCCTGTCTTAGTTTAAACACACAAAGGCTCTCTCTTTGTCTTTTCTTACTCTTAAAAGCCCTCTGCTCATCGCTGTGGAATGTAGCCCCTGTATTCAGACTTGATTCTGTTGAGTCTACTTTTTTGGCACCGGTCAGAACTTTAGGACACATACAGATGTCCTTTTCCTCTTAGCCAAAGCAGCCAGACTCCAAGGTAGAGATCCAGCCCCTGTGGTGAACGAGCCACACATGACCTGTCAGAAAGTGAGGGTGCAGCCAAGCGAGCAGTGCATACTGGGACAGCAGACAGGACTTATTTTGTTCCCACAGACATCTGTCCAGTTATAGTGAAGCATTGTAAATTGTGCCTTTGCACTGGAATGCTGCATTTGTCTTGTGCAGCGACTGCAACAGAACAGGCTGTTTTTGCTGGCTTGGGAATCTCCTCTGTATTTTGCAGTGATGAAAACATTCCACTGCTGACTCATTTCTGTGTTTTGCAATAGTTCTTTTAAAACCGTCTCATCAGTTCATATTGTTCTTGGGTTATTTTAGCACGTGCAATCACATCTTTCTAGTTCATTCTGTTGGCTACTCATTCTGGTGCCCTTAAATGGGTGTTAAAAAAAACATCAGGGTCAAATATACTACCACTCGAAATTTTGGGCTATTTTTCTGATTCTTTTATTTAGCAAGGATGCATTTATAATGTGACAAAAGATTTATAATGAGTTACTTACTATTCATCAAAGATTCATGAAAAAAGTGTCACAATTTAAATAAAAATATTAAGCAATACAACTGTTTTTAACATTAATGTAATAAATATTTTTGATCACCAACTCAGCACATTAGATTGGTGTCTGCGAAAGAAAGAACTGAAAACAAGTATTTTACATTCTTATAATACTTTAAAACATTACTAGTTTGTGGAATGTTTGATCAAATAAATGCAGTCTGGGTGAATATAAGAGATTTCTTTCAGAAACATAAATAAAATCTTACTGACTCCAAAGTGTTTTTTTTTTACACTTTTTGCATCAAGTTTGCATCCTCATGTTTGTCTCCTTGGTAACCAAGCACACTAAAGGCCAATTTATACTTTCGCGTAGGGTGTCCGTAGTAGGTACGGCGTAGCATATGCACAGACGCGTACCATTCCGCCAGACTGATCTCATGAAATAGCGTGTGTATGACACGCCAATTCGTATTTCCATTTTTGGCACGCTATCAACATGCATAATCGCTTTTCAGCGTGTTTATGAACGCCGTTGACTTAACGGTATTACTGTATATATACCTCAACCCTGTTCCTAAACCTACCCGTCACTGGGGTTAATGGCATTTATGAGTGTTCCCCTACCATCCTAGGAAAAAAAAAAAGATAGCTCCCCAGATGTAGATCTACATTTTGCTTCATTTCGCTCAGACATTTGACGGCGTGTACAGACACGCGGAATCACTCTGACGTTAATGGCGTAGACATACACGCATACACGCGGATAGATCAAAATGCGTAGAGATAACACGGCACTCGAAAGTGGCGTGTATGTTTACGCAAAAGTCATGATGTCATGTTGATACTGCATACCCTTTGCCGTAGCCTGACGTGCACCTCCTCAAAAATGTAACTACGCGTCGCGACGACGTGGACCGCAAGATCTTTCATTGGTCGGCTTGGTAGCATCGCATTTCCTCCTACACATTTCCGCACGTATACCATCTCACGCATTTCCGCACGTTCCTTGTCCTCTGACGTCTTCTCTCGTTTCTGCCTTTTAGTTTTAGTAATTTCACTAAAATGAACTGTTTTTCCACCTCAATAAGCTCCAACTCCAACATGATCCACTCTCTTTCAGTCGCCATTGCTTGTAGTTACCTAGCCGCGAGGAATCTAAACACAGTGGAACTTTAAAACCCTCCACCGCCAACTAGCGTTTCGGAGCAGTACTGCAGAGCAACCAAGACCTGAACGGAGAAGTATAAATGCTCACGACGGCGTCACCTACGTGCGTAGCCTACGCCGTACACTACGGCATACCCTTGACGCAGAAGTATAAATTGGCCTTACTGTAACTTAAGGGGAAATTACATCACAATTGTAGGACAGTCATAATTTTTGAAAAATTACACAAATAATTTTCATAATATTTTATTAATATAAATAATATTTATAATGGAAATATTAATGATTATTCTATGTGATTTTCTTGTGTTACTTTTACTAAAACTACTGGGACTTCCTTAAAAACATACACATCAAGTATAATTTGGGACAGATTAATTGAGAGACACTTAACTGCCTAGACACATCCCTCCGTTAAGCGAGATAGCAACCTTTACCTCCTGTGTGTGGTTGCATGAGGTCACGGTCTGTCACTGTACCATGCTTTGACTTCATTTTGGATTCAACCTTAACATTGAGAATAAGGAGTCTTCTATCCTTAATAAAGACAAATCTATTTTTCCCAAAGCATTCATTTCACTGCTCTCTTGTCTCCTCACAGTCTCACTGTCTGCTTTGATCACATTCGGGAGAAATAACGGGTGTAGATATGTCCTGAGGATTTGTATAATGCATAAAAAAGAAGAATGACTGTGTGAATTTCCCCCTCCATAGGATGCTGTGTCTCCAGCTAAAATAAAGGCTTGACTGCTGTGGGAAATACGAGCTAGATAAAAGAAGTTGTAATGCAGCGAACTTCTGTTTGAGTTATACACACCATGTTAATGAATGAATGGTGGGAGTAAGACAAAAGAAAGGGATAATACTATGAGGAGAGAATGAATCTAGAGAAGACAACAACTTATGGGTTGAGAAGAGATCATAAAAAAGGGGAAGGGTGATGTGAAGACTGAATGGGACAAAGGGAATTAAGTTTTTTTAAATTCAGGCCCTCTTTCAGTTAACTCCCTATCTCTGGTCATAACTAAGTGAGACATTTTCTTTTTTTTTGCTGTTCTTCATTGTAGTCAAGGTTTGTTAGCCAATCCTGACACGTTCAAAGAAGTGTCTAAATGTATTAAATTTCTTATTTTACCTCAAAAGGGATCCTAAACACTTAAATATATCTTTGTATGTACTGTGTCTGGCAAAGAAGAACCTGGGAAAGTAATAAGTATGAATGTAACACACATATTTCAAGTCTCAAACCTTTGGTCCGCCAACACTTTCCTGGGATTTGAGTGAAAGGGCCAAAACCTCACAAGATTTGCCAAGATCTAATTGAATCCAACTTATCTACTACAGTTCAGACCAGAAAGCAGATACTTGTGGCTTTAAATCGACAGTAATATCTTTATTGTTTTACAATTACAAATGACAAAACTATTTGTTGTTATCATGACACACCTTTTCAAGACATTCAAGTCATCGGTCAAGGACATCCCATCCCTACAGGCACCTACAACTTCAAGCTCTTTGGACAATCTAAGAAAGCATGCATAAACTCATTCAATTTCCTTTATAACCACAATGAAGTCCCCCCACCACAAAGGTCAGCCACTAAATGAGTTTCGTCTTCAGAGGGGAAGAAAGGATCGTGAAGGCTGGAGTTCTGTGGTTTCTTTCCAAACTTTTCCCCTCAACCACATGAAGGAAAATCCATAGTGTTTAGAGAGTGTCACGTTGTTTTCTTTCACGACATGCAAGGAGGGTTCCCTCGAGACTGACCGGCACGGTGGTTTGGGGGCCTTGTGGGAATGAATATTAGAGTTTTGCTAATGGACTGAATGAAATACAACGTGCAAGCCTTCACACAGCTTTCGTTCAACACTTCAGAACATAGTCAGAGAATGTACAACCACTCATCCTCAGTCGAAAAAGTCCCACTGACCACAAGAGTTCATATCAACTCCATAAAACTGAGGGAAAATCCATTTGTTTCCATCTGTTTGAGTCACAATAGAGATTGGTTTACTAAACTAAGCTTCCTTTATTGCTTTCCAGACACTGTTACCAGCCTATATAATGCAAAATTATTATTTTTTCACTGATTTACGTAAAAAATGTAAGTAATTTACCTCAAATTAGCTTTTCCCCACCAGCAGAATGTAGAAAATATGTGTACACTCTCAAAATAAAGGCTTTTTTTTTGCCATCTATGGTTCCATGAAGAACCTTTAACATCCATGGAACCTTTCCATTGAAAAAATGTTTCTTCAGATTTAAACATTCTTTGCACTGAGAAAAAAACATTCTTTTTAGAACTTTTTACCGAAAGGTTCTCTGGGGAACCTGAAATGGCATTGCTGTGAAACCCCCTTTTTGGAACCCTTATTTTTAATAGTGTAAAAAGGTTTTCAAGTGTGACTGTGTGGATATTGGGACATGTTTGGACGAAATCCAGCCAAAATAAAAAGCTTCCCATCTGTGTGCATTTAGACAAGAGTTTACTAAATGATAAAAAATAAATGCTGTTTAGAAATGCAGGCCAGAGTTTGAGTCTGTTCCAGTCAAGACTGTCCAGTACCAGATGTTTCCTCAGAAAAGGAATAGCAATATTTAAACAAACAAATAGACTCATGTCAGAAAACTAGTTTTAAATGCCACTCAATAGATTTTTCAGCTTGCAAATACTTTAAATGTGAGCAGAAATACTTTTGTCACGCAAGAAAAACTGAATTGAATCTTTTTTTTTTTTTTGTAGTGAGCTTTTGGAAGATCTGGAACGAAGCCCCCATGCCACAGCCATAGCAGAATGCTTTGTGGAGAGGGTAAGCACATAACAAATAAAAAATACATTTCTTCCTGTTTGACACCTTATTAGAAGGCATACAATACATATATCTTAAGACAAGGAGTTTGTTTTAAAGGGGTCATATAATGGTACATGCACTTTTTCAAGTTGATTGTACCGAAATGTGTGTTGGCAGTGGCTGTACTCAACAATCATGTAACCATCATTAAGAATTTTAAATTAAAGTATATTATAAACTTTTCATTTAGACCCTAAAGAATCAAATGTATCAAACTTGTATGAAAATGGCATTATATGACCCCTTTATTGCACGTCATTCTAGGACCGTTGTCTAGGGGAAATCCAGTTTTGTTAATGTGTTATGTTGGGGCCTTCGCTTGGCACTATGGGAGAAGCACAACTAAATGTCTGGGCCAGAAAAACAGATGGACTCTGTGAAACCTAAACATACCAGCAACTGTGTTGAACTTTTAACACATGCACACGTCAGCTAAGTGCATATGCAGACAATTTTGGTGCTCTTGTCTCCACACCACAATGACACAACAATGAGCAGACCAGACTGGGATGGGAACCAGACAAGGACATCATTGTTTGGAGTGGTAGAGGGGTTGAATGCGCTCATTCTTATTTCTGCAAAGATTTGTTTCTTGGTTTAGAAAAGGAAATTGTTCTTTACCTTTCAGTTGCCAGAGGCAGTGTCTCAAGCACCAAGACTCAATGTTTACCTCCTGCTGAAGAGGCTACTGTTCGGATCAATTAGCACTGGCCTAGGAAGCAAAGAGTACATTTGATTAACCCATTACCGGTGGGTTATTTTGAGGTTTAGCTCAATTTAGCTCAATTTAACCTTCTCTAATGCAGCAGAGTCTCAGTAGCATCAAAAAACCCAAACTTCCAAATCAAAATCAAAGCAATGCCTCTAGACTAGATAGCAGGCCCCATAGAGCAGAATGGAGCAAATATTTGATGTTTACATGCTTGTAAAGATGTAGTTCAGTGACTGTAACTGAAGCTGAGCTGCCCATATCTGGTCAGATCTGGGTATAGTGGCCGTTGCCAAAGCAGATGACGGGGTTCACTTGATTGGGTTGTTCTGGTACTGCTTCTGTTTTTGGAACACAAACATTTAGTGGAAAAATCTCCCATACTGCCAAGTGAATGCCAGTCTAGATTTGGCCATTTTGTCTGTTATATTTTTGTTTGGTTTCATAACACCACACTCTTTTTATTTTAAACAGCAAGTGATGTCCATTTTTGTTGGTAAAATAAAGGTCAATAAGTCTTTGAAATCAATTAATTATTATTATTAATTTTTTTTTTTCTATAGAGTGAAGCTTTTGACATTTACACCATATACTGCATGAATTACCCCAAGTAAGTGAAGAATATTTCTATTTCTCTGATATTATGTACATTACAGTACCGTTCAAAAGTTTGGAGCAAGATTTTTATAAATAAAATAAAAAGACAGTAAAGACATGTACAATGTTGCAAAAGATGTATATTGCAAATAAATGCTAGTCTTTTGACTGACAAATCTTTTTATCATGGTTTCAACATTTATAATAATATGAAATATTTTCCTGTGCAAAAATTATTTCTGAAGAATCGTGTGACACTGAAGACTGTAGTAATGATGCTGAAAATTCAGCTTTGCTATCACAGGAATAAATGATATTTTATAATATATTTTAAAATATATATGAATAGTCTGTCAAAAACATTAAAAAAAACTTACTCTAAATATTTTAACAGTATATGCAGATGATTGCACACTGCAAGTGTGCAAGTTTAGTTTAAATTTACTTTAAATATATATTTATGTATATATAAATGTATATTACATATATATATACATTTAATTATATAGTATTTTAAATGGATTAAACTGTTTAAAACCTTTATACGCTGAAAACTCATCAATGCTGTTGCATAATTGTACAAGTATCTGGCATTTTTTCAGTAAAAATAATTAGATTCATGTGATGTAGATGTCAACCACAATGATGTACGTATAATCATGTAAGAAATTTTTGATGAATGTCGTGTGGGTTTAATTAGTCAATGTTAACTATATGTCTAGTGGAAAAATTAGACATATCAGAGGCAGACATGCTTGGGGATGACTACTTGGAATACTTTTCAGCCCCTCTCTTATTATTCCCATGAGCCTCTGGTACAACAGCAACATATGTTCCATTAGAGCTGATTCTGATCCACCTTTAAAGAATTAGTTGAATTTAGCATTTAGAGACTGTATGCGAAGAGTCTGAGTGTTTTATAAGTACATTTGTAGGTTTACAGGCCCATCAGCTGAATGCATTACTGCAGGCCTTATAAGATGAAGTGCTGTCAGGCAAAGCTGCCAAACTGATGAGTCTCCCAGTAGACCACCCTGCTTAAATATCTTCCTCCCTGTTTCCGTCCAGCTCAGTAACCGTCCTGCGGGACTGCATGAAGAATGAGAGCCTGGTGCGCTTCTTCCAGGAAAGGCAGGCCACCCTGTGCCACTCGTTGCCTCTGGAGACCTACCTGCTGAAACCGGTGCAAAGGATTCTTAAATACCACCTTCTACTGCAGGTCAGTGGACTTCAATGCAGTGACAGTAGTGCCGATTTTAGCTCTGATCCTGGCATCTACCTGCAGGACAAATGGGGCCATGCAAGCCAACCAAACCCTGGCCCTTTAAAAAGAAATGTATAACTCCTGCCAGACTGTACAGCTGATATGTTGTCACCCCCTTGTGGTAGGAACTATCCAAACACTTTGATAAAAGTGATCCAGGGTATGAGGTGGTAGAAGAAGCCATTATAACCATGACAGCAGTCGCATGGTACATCAATGACATGAAGAGGAAACAGGAACATGCAGTCAGACTTCAGGTAATCCCAGACATTGAATGCTCCCTATGACTTTTTAAAAATCAAATATTCTGTAAGTGTGAGATTTCAGTGTATTGAATTCTATTGCAACTTCAAATGTGAAATGTTAAAAATTGTAGGAGATTGAGAGCTTGTTGCTGAACTGGACTGGTCCCGATCTCAGCGGTTTTGGGGAACTGGTTCTTGAAGGTTCCTTCCGAGTTCAGCGTGTGAAAAAGGAAAGAGCATTCTTTCTTTTTGACAAAATGCTTCTCATTGCCAAGAAGAGGCTGGATCATTTCATATACAGTACTCACATATTTGTAAGTCATCATAATTTGTCATCATATTTAAGTTTTCTTTCCAAATCTACCCTAAATCTAGGAGTATAGTATTGTATTTACAGAATTTGGGATATGCAGGCCTCATATTGTTCTGTTTCTCCCTCTCATCTTTCAAGTGCTGTAATCTGCTCTTAGTGGAAAATATGAAGGATCCCCTCTGTTTTAAGGTTTCTGACCAAACAATCCCCAAACAGCAACACATTGTTCAGGTAAAATATCTAAAAATAAAAATATATAAAATGATATTTTCTATAATGTATAATGTACATTGAAAACCTTATCTTAGAATAAAATCTTTACTTTTTCTGTAGGCTAAAAATCAGGAGGAGAAGCGGCTGTGGCTACATTACCTCAAGAGGATGATAGTGGAGAACCACCCTGCATCCTTGCCCCAAAAAGTAATAGAGTTGTTTATATGTCAACCTATCCATCACTATGTAAGGGATAATGTGATCTGTCTGGTTCAGTTATATACAGTTCACAGAAGGACACTATAGTGTTAAATATCTTAATATGTTTTCCAGGCAAGACAGGTTCTTGGTGACAACTTCTGTCAGTGTAAGTGTTCTCTGCTTGTCATTCTTGAGCTATTGCTTGTGACACTGAGTGTTTTACATGCTGTAGATTATTCACATTTTGTATTTTGTTTAGCCCCACAGTTTGATCAGGAGCCAATAAGAAAGCCGATGCCCTCTCCACGACTGGATGATGTTCATAACTACCACAGAGGAAGAAGGCAATCAGGTCTGGCAGATAGTGTTTATTAGACTAGATTAAAATGCCACTGACTCATATACTCATAAAAATTACGTTCATAACTTCTGACAGAACCACCAGAGTTCATCTACACCCCTGAGAAAGCCAGGAAATGCCTTCCACTCCTCCTAGAGGGAAACCTGCCATACAAGCGTGGGAGAAGGCAGTCTGGTGAATAGAATCTAATCTCATACTCTGAAAGAGGCCTAAAATGATTTTGTTCTCAAAATAATTTTATTTATAAATAGAGTTGCATAATAATTCATCTTTTTATTGTATTTTTGTCATGTTATATTGATACTGTCAGCAGTTCTTGTTCTTTTGTACTTTTGAACTAAGTTTAAGCCTAAAATCTAATCTTTATTTGCATCAAGCCCCTGCCAAAGATATAGAAGCTGCATTCCAGCAAAGTGGTGAGTTCAAACTTAAGTTATTTCATTTTGTTGTGTTATCTTGTTTTTATTTGGTCAGTGATGATGAGTCTTTCAAAATGAATGTAAAAAAGGTTAACATAATTGGAAAGATTTTAAGAATGGAAATGTTTTTTTTTAAAAAAGAAAACAAAATAATGTTTCCATTTTTCCGTTTCCATTTTTCTTTTTTTCTGATCTGCCATGGCTTCACTGCTTATGGAATCCAGGGTCTTTAAAGGTGTGAATATCATTTTCTTCTATTTAACATTATATATTGTATACACAGCCTTAATTATATCAATTTTATGTCAAAACGCAACCTTGTAGCAGCAGGGTTTGTTTACTCAGCCATGATAAAGTGTTATATATATCTAACAGTATGTATATCTACGCTTTTGTCTATTAATGGGTTTCCAGGCTGGCAGTGAAGGGGAGTTGTGCCCACAGGCTGATAGCATGGGCTCTTCAGGCAGTACCAGTACCCTGGCATCGTCTGTCATTGAAGTTGAATCTGGCCATGATGATCTGGTTTTATGTCAGGATGAGGATGACATGACCCCACTTTCTCCACCACCAACACTGTCCATTACTGAGGAAATCATGCAGTTCATTAACCAGAGCCGTGCTCGACAAGGCATGGCAGAGTTAACTTCTGAAGTGGTACATATAGCACAAAAACATTTTGACACCTCAAACAATATTCAGAGAAAGTAATAGCTGTATTAACTCACCACAATGTTTCTCTACTACTGGTATTTATATTGAAATCACTGATTTTGTAGCAGTAATGCTGTTCATTTGTTATTGTAAGCTTCTAGTTACAAGAAAACTGCATTTTACTTTTTTGTCTTCCACAGTGCCAGTTGACTCCAGAGTCCCTGGAAGTCAAACCACTGGAGGCACAGCAGTCAGATGAATCTAAACCACTACTATCTGAGGTGGATGATAATAAACATCAGATGGATAATAACATTTCAGAGGCAGACAATAAACTGGTGGATGGGTCAGACAAAGATGAGAACAGCTATCCATCCTGTGAAGCAAATGTTGCTTCACTAGAGGAGCTTGAGAGAGCATCATCACCATTGCACATCTCCAAAGAAGTGAATCAATCAGAAGAGTTGACATTACCAGAGCCTAGTCATAGTGAATCATCCAAACCAGAGATGGAGAAGACCATAAGTGAAAAGGGGGGAAAATATACTGAGGACTCTGTTAGTAAAAGTGAAGAGCCTCATCTATCTGATAATTTGGACAAAACTGATGACACGGCATGTGAGGCCAGTTCAGCTTGTGCTCACATTGCCTCTACATTGACAACAACTGACATCTCTCTTGTCCCCAACGTAGAACCTGAGCAAAAACTGACCAAAAGTGACAAGCAGATTATTGAGAAGATACGCAGCTATTATGAGGCAGCAGAGGCAGGTGTCGAGGAGGGTCAGATGGCAAGAAGGAACAGCTTCTCAAATATTCCTACAGGATTAGTGAAGGATTCTGTGTCCCGATTCAATGTTTTTGTTCACCAAGACAGTCTAGTTGAGTCTGAGAGTGGCCACTCAGACTGTGTTGAAACTGACTTAGCATCTTCATTACTTCCAATATCAGACCAGGCTGACCAGTGTGGTCAGACGATTGAGTCTGACCAGACTTTCAAACATCAAGAATCTGCTCTCTCACATTCAGATATTATCCAAGAACAAAAAGAAGAATTGGACGGCAAGACTGCAGAACAAAAGGATGTAGAAATTCTACATTCTACAGAAAATCCTTCTGTAGAGTTTAGTCCCTGTATGAAACTGTGGAAGGAGAAAGAAAGAATTGATCAAGAGTCTCAAAACAATTTGAAAGTCCCTCTCTCAAGAGAGAACAGCTGTGTTGAACACACAGATGCTTCTGAAAAAAATAAGATATCTATTAATTGCTCAACACCCCTACTACAGCATAAGCAAAATGAAGGTTCACAAAGCCAATCAGACACTTCAGATCCATCTAATCTGCAGATAACAGAGACAGCGGATACATCTCTTCAATATGGAGGAAGAACCAGAGCTAGAATGTCTTCTAATGGAAGCCTGGACAGCCTTCCCAGTCAGATTAAAGTTGGCCGGTGGTCACGTCATGGCAAGGTGGTAACATGTAGTCATACCCTTTATGAAGGAATGGCAGAGGTACCAGATTTAGGTTTTTTTGAGGGTGGACCAGTCAACCAATGCTTGGTAGAGAACTCAGAAAAGATTCTTAATAAAGTACAAATGCTTGCACGCATGTACACTGCCAAGGCAAGCAGCATGAAGGTACCACTACATCAGAAGAAAACACGAGTGAGTAGGGGAGCATGGTTAGTGGAAGGAAAAGGGAGCACTTCACCCAAGTCACAGAAAGTGCAGCTTCATCGGGGGGATATGAGAATACTAAGTCAGCCCGCAGGTGAGCTCTTAATATAGTTTAATTATTATCTTGTGTGATTGAAAAACATGTTATTTTAAATATGTTTAATAAAATGTTGCCTATTGTTTTGTTGCAGAAGAATCTTCAGTATCCACATCTACTGAGGCTTTTGGTCACATTATTTTAAGGGAGAAGCTGTCTACAATGTATCACCAAGAAAATGATTGTAATCTCATTGGGCCTCCAGATGAGATCTCAACAATTGGATCTGATTCATTGTCTTTTTCTTCTGCTGAATCCTCTGCTACTTCAGTTGAAATATTAACAACTGTTATGGAATCACAGGTCTCTGTGATATCAGACCATAGAGAAAGCTCCTTAGAAAGATCTGAGTCTAAACAACACGAAGGAGCCCAATCCTTGTTACTTTCAACTTCTGGACCTCATGTCCAAGAAATGCCATCCAACCTCTCTGAATTTCCTTTAAATGAGCATGCTTACAACATATCTCAGTCCATTCAGGAGAACTATTCAAATGTTGGGGACAAATTCATTGCAATAAATGGGATTGAAGAAGGTCAGATATTGCAAGAGGAAAACCCTGCTTTTGTGAGCAATTCTGGTCCAAGTAGTCAACATTTTACTGACCCATTAGTCATTAAAAATTTAGAAGAAGAGACTCACAGTGTGGATGAGAAAAGTGCCTCAATTGTACAGTGCTGTGAAAGAATATTGACCATAGATGGTCAACAAGATGAAATGCATACAGGACATTTGAAATCCAAGCAGGTCCAAGATGATACTGAAACCACTAGCTTAGAAAAAATGACACCTGTAGCGACCTCTGTTAACAAAGTAGTTGCATGTCCTCCATTACAGCAAGCAGACTTCTTGAAAAACTGTGTTTCAAACACTTTGATCATCTCCGAGAGGTCAGAGCAGTCATGCCCTTTGGCCCAGTTGCAGGAGGATACAACTATCCCTACACTTAGTACATGCAGCAAGTGTAGTCCTCTGGATGTTAAATCCAAAGAAGACCTGAGCAATAATTCAAAGTCTTATAGCCCACCAGCTACACCCCCTTTAGGTGGACCTTCGTTTGATGAACTTCCAAGGTTTACTAGCCAAAGACCTTCTAATCTACCCTCCACTGCTGGAAAGAGGAGTACCTTTGCCAATTGGAATTCATCTTCCGTCGATCAAAGGTAGTCTGCTGAGCAAATCACAAACTAAGCTGTAGTTATAGGGTGTATCCAGTTGAAATTTAGGTTATGCTGTTGTAGTTTATATAACATCACTAAAGTATTTCATTTAATTTTAATCTGTGTCTTATCTTGCTTTTCAGAGTGCCACATTCTTCATTGCGGACTGAGGAGCAGATTCAGGGTACTTCTGATTTTGGCCTTTCTCATAACAGACAATCTTTATTCCATACTGTTAATGATAAGCCATTAAACATTCCCTTTGGTTTTGGACGTCCATTAGATGCAAAACCACCCTCTGCCTTTAGTCCAAACTTGCGAATGCGATCACCCTCTCCAATTAGAGGCGCCCAGAACTCCAGACCGTCCTCAACGGCCTCAGCTCTTGCAAAGTCTCTTGCTGCCTCTTGTATCAGTCAGACAATTTCTCAAAACATGGCCAAGAGAGGTGCACATCTTCAGACTGCTTCTCCAACTGTAAGCTCATCTTCTCTGCCCACATCTTCAGTTAGACTTAGGTCACCATCACCTAAATCCATCACCTTGGACTTAAGTGTGGAGTCAGGTTGTAGAAGCACATCCAGTACTGGGGTAGGAAATCCCCAAGGTCAGCCCCCAAGGTCTTCTTCATCCCCATGTAGATCAAACAGTCTTCGATCTAGTCCAGCAACAGTTCAGACTCCTCCTCCTTTTCGAAGTCAGCGGTCAATATCCCCTGCACCTCCAGTTAGCCTCCATTCAACTCCATCTGCTAACAGCCCAAGCTCTGCTGCTCTTGAACAGCCTCCTTACACCAGTTTAAATAGTAATAACAACAACAACAACAATAACAACAGTTTGAGTAATAATGGGTGGGCCACTAACCACAAAAAAGCACCACACTCAAATGTGGGTGGACTCCCTCATTTCCACGATCCTCAACGAACAACCTTGCACAATAGGGTGGCTCGGCCCTTCCCGTCTTCCGAGCCCAGCTCTCGTGTACAGTCCCCCTCTATTTCCCCTTCTCCAATTACTCGAATCTGCTCCCCTCCACCTACCCCGAACCATTCAAGTAATCTGGTAACAAAGCCACCAAATCCCAGAGCCCCCAGACAAGGTGGCTTTTTTACCCCTTTATCTTTGGACATCTCTAGATCAACATCAGCTTGTTCACTATCTCCCTGTGGGAGCCCCAGAATCACCTCTCCTCCCCCTATTGGCATTCCTACAAGTGTATGGGGCTTTGCTAATCCACAGCCAAGGAATCCCTCATTAACAAATACATATTCTCCAACAAAAGTGGAAACAAACTCTCCACCAAAAGGCACCAGAATAATCTCTCCTACCCCAATGGGGATGTCTCCATGTTCAGCAACCATCTCTCAGAGCCAGAGGAGGCTACGAGGAAACAGTTTGCCCTTTGTTGCTCTTGGGGATAGACCACCAAGTCCAAAAAGACAGGAACGCAGGTCTTGGGCAGAAAGTGGACGATGGTCAGTGGGTTCAGAATTGGGGTTAGTAAGTCCCCGTGGGGGTTCATACAGTGGTAGCCCATCTTCTACCAGCCCTGGCCCTCTTTCACCTGTCAGACTAACAGCCGAAAGGACCAGTCATAATGGAAAACATTTAACAAACATTGCCTGGCCGGATGTACATGATCAGTTGATTAAATACAACACAGAGCCCAATACTGAAACCAACACATTGTCCTACAGCGAGGCAGAGCTAGATGACATAGAGGTTGCAGAATCTACATGTCGGAGCACCCTGATCTGTCCCTATGTTGCTCCAGTCAGCCCCAATGACAGAGAGACTCCCATTCATTGCCCAGATGCGGGCAAAACAGAAGATAGTGTTATTAATCAAGGGTCCAAAACAACATTAAAAACAAGTTATGCCACCACCGTCAACTTGCAGATTGCCGGAAGTGGGAGGATAGCATCCTTTAGCAATGCACAAGTCAGCCTGACTCAAACACTGTCCCCTGTAGCAGATAGCCAGGGCAGGAGAAGGGTCAGCATCAATAGCTGCAACTTCTCAATGCAGAACTGCAAAAGGCTTTGAGTGGTGTGCTCCTGAGGTCTGGTATGGTGCCTCATTCTTCAAAGACACTTTATCTGGCACTTTAGCATGTAGAAGAGGAGTCTGCTTAGAGATCCCAGTCCACTTCACTCAGAGGGGAAAAATTAAAGGGGAACTCTGGCACAAAATGAACGTTTGGTCTAATTACACATTGTTACCTTGTCAACCATTATCTGAGATTTGTTTTCATGATTGCCGAATGTAAATAGTTTTATCTGTAAAAACAGTTTAGCCTATAAGGCTAGTATAACGCTAGTATATAGGGCATGGAGTAATGACAAATAAAAATCACTTCTTATTACCACTAACAAGGCTCAAAATAGCCCCACACTAACATGGTAGCATAATAAGGGTCCCTACATTCAAACCGAAGCATTGAGAAATTTGTCAGTGTCCAAACAGTTTAATAAGAAGATATTTTATACATACAGTCAACTTCGCGAAAACAGGTAGAAGCTATCTTTGAAAAATAGTCTCTACCAGTCGATCTGCGAACGCCGATCCAAGTGCGCTGAACTGTGCAGAATCTCATATGGTCCGTTGTTTCCAGAAGAAACAGAAACACCATTTTCTTCTCTTCATTATGTACACATAGCCTACTGTTCACACTCACCTTATCACCTTATTCACATCTCACCAGCGCAACAAGCGATTAACAAGCGATTTTTATTTGTCATTACTCTATGCCCTATATACTAGCGTTATACTAGCATTATAGGCTAAACTGTTTTTAGAGATAAAACTATTTATACTCGGCAATCATGAAAACAAATCTCAGATAACGGTTGACTAGGTAACAATGTGTAATTAGACCAAAGGTTCATTTTGCGCCGGAGTTCTCCTTTAATGGACAATAAAATACGGGTGTCAGCCAGTTGATGGACAGTTGATGGACCTATGGTCAGTGATTTTATTTTATTTTTTAACCCTCAATCCTGGCCAAGATGCCAGTAAAACAGATAAAATGACTGTTTTGCTATTTTTGGCAGTGTTTATTTTATTGCTTTTAATACTGTAATATGCAAATTCATTATATGTAATTTTACTAAAGGCTCTGTCATTTAAGGCTTTTAGTTGGCTGTGATATATAAAAAAAAACTTATTTATGAAATAATTGTTTTCTGGCACTTAACTCTTGTTTCTTTGTTTTGCACATTTTTATCGAATGTGGTCCAGGCGTGTCTGGAAAATAGTGCATTTCAGACAAACCTTTCTCATGTATGTTGTGTTCTATACAAATTTGCTTAAGACATTTGAAAACAAGGGACCATGCTGCTTGATTGATGTTAATACGAACATCAAAACATCTGATCAGATATTTTGCATTGATGAAAATGTTTGCTCTACAATTAAAAAAGAACTGTACTTTGGTGTGGACTACGACAAGGTAATGCTGATCAAGTGGACTCTTGGACATTCTGTTTTTTAATGTAATACGTTGTTGATTTCTAAATGAGATTTTCACAATGAATTAATACTTAAGCCAATTAAACATACAGTATATCTCAGATTTGTTTACCTATGGCCTTTATGCTTCACATCATGCCTGCCACATTATGTAAAGAAAACAAATGTTCCATCTGCTCTCTGTACTTAAAAAACAAAACAAAAAAACATGATTGTCACATGATTGTAATGTGCCCTCAGTTATTTGTTCCTAAATAAAACCTTCATAGTGATTGTGCCATTGTGATACCACAACTTTTATAAAAACAAATGGTATTTTGCTGGGACAGGAGGGGTCTGATCTCATGTTAGGATTCAACTCAGTATAGTGTTATTAGCGTAATTTAAGCTCCGGTTAGACCTACGTTTATTTGATACCTGTTATTACAATATTTAACCTAGATTTATAATTCAGAATGGAACAGTTTGAAAGAAAATATATTTATAGGAACATTATAGCAGGCTCAAGATAACTAATACAGAGATCATTATTCATTGTTTTAATCAATTGACATTCATAAAACATAGTGATAATCTGCATTCTCATGTATGGACGTGCGATGAACACTCTAACCGAAAACTCCCGATATAATAAGTATGTAATAAGTATATAATAAGTATTAATAAGTATATAATAAGTATATAATATGTATATTGTAATAAGTATAATAATATGATAGCTTACGTGAAAAAACGCCCCCAGTTACGAGCTCTACGTCACATAGCCCGCGAAACCATACAAAACATGTCAGCCCCTACGGATGCCTGCAGTTGGTTATTGGTTTCTGAAGCCGGTCAATATAACGTTAACTAGATAACGTTATAACGAGTCCATTGAGTGCAAGGATAAATTAATACCAAATACATTTCCAAATATACAAACAGGCTAAAGTAAAATAAAAGGTATAACAGCTAATCTTGCCTTATGCACCGTTTTCCCTAATCCGTTTCAAATAAACAAGGAGTAATTTAAGCACCTTAGGCGACAGAAATTATTACAAATGCGCATAAGGTCCGCCATACTTGTTTGTTTACATCCCATTCATTTTGGCGTCACTTTGACAGCGAATAACTTTACATCTGAAGCGTTTGAAGACCCCATTTGTCCTTTATTTATTTCTAAAGAAACACGACAATTTATAAATAGCTCGTTATAGCCCCGTGGAAGCAGTTTTAGTGAAAGTAGGCTAACGATTGCGTCATACCCACGCGACTGACTCTCTGTCGCACAGTAGAGATTTTACCGTATAGACCCTTTTACAGTTGGTAAACATGGTGACGTTTTTTTGTGGGCGGAGCTTAGGTGGAGGCAGAAAGATCCATCTGGCCGCTTCACTAACGCTTAGCAAGGATTGTTAGCTTGTTTTTTTAAAAATTACTGGAGAAAATCCGATATTATCTTAATGTGTAAGGTCACTCAGTGTCCAGGACCGCGATTGTTATTTCCAAAAGTTATTTTTAACGGACGGAACCAGATTGTCAGACCTGTAGCCGCCTACACGCTCACTCAATGCATGGATGATCTGACAGGATTAACGTACGTTACCTCGGTTGAGTGGCCTGACTTCTAACTTACACCTACCTTATAGAGAAACCGATCGTAAAGAGAAACTGAGGGCATATAAATCTTTAGATGCCTATATGGTCCTGTACAAGACTTGTGTGTATGATCTGCAGTTCTGCCGAGTCAGCGCCGAGACCACGACAATGTTAATGATGTGAATCTAGTGATGTGATTTTCTAGAAATAAAAGTTCCAGATACAGCATATTCATTTTTCATCAATTCTTGCACCAAACAACACAACAAGATGACATTTAATAATAGTAACAATTATTTAAGCTCCTTATTATGTAGCCAAATCTGTGCTGTTTTGCATTGACCGCCTCCAGTTTTCACTTTGTTTTGCCTCCAGCTAGCGCCGTGACGTAACTGTGACGTCGGCGCAAAAGGGGTCTATAGACATGAGAAGAAGCTTGCACGCAATCGGGGAAACGTGGAGGCAAAATGACAAAATAATTAATCAGAATACCTAGCAAAATTGTCTCCTTCTCCTAGCTCATGGACAGCTCCTACTCACACTTTCCGCCTCTGCGTGTTTCAGAAGGGAATGATTCAGATTTCTCATGCCACAGCACTAGAAGACCCAGATAGCAAACTGACATTGAATCAACGTGGAAATATGACATCGAAACAACGTTGATCTGACATTGTTTTGCTCATCGAATTAACGTTGAACCAACGTCAGATGCGTCATTCTTTCAAAACTAACGGAAAATCAACTTGAAATCAATGCGTTGTTTCAACGTTATGGAAGCAAACCAATTTTCGATTTCATTTAGCTTTGAAGAATGCCGCGTCTGACGTTGGTTCAACGTTAATTCGATGAGCATATCAACGTTGTTTCAATGTCATGAGAGACGTCGTTTCCACGTTGATTCAATGTCAGTTTGCTGTCTGGGGACAGACGGGTCACTCACGTCCCACTACGTAGTCAAGCTCTGTTTGAGTCTGCGCGTCAGGGAAGGAAGTGCTAAAAAATCGCCAAAAACGTGCTATACCATTAGATATAAAGGCTAGAAGTGTCACGCTCCTGGCCAATGGAGGTCGACGTCAGCACCTGGCGGCCATCTTGTCACAGGCAGCTCGCTCACTGGTAACATTGTTATGATGGTGCATGTACTTTTTAAATCACCGTAACTTGCTCAATTTTCTGCCGATTTTCAAACGGTCTGGTTTGTTAAACGGCAGAGATGTAGTTATGATACTGCATACTTGTGAAAATTGGGTGTATAAATAAATAATCATCCAGAATCATAGCCACGTTAATAACGTTTGTAAGAAACCAAACCGTTTGTAAATCCGTCAAGATTTCAACGAGATTTCTTACTTCAGATACCACAGAGCCCGCCAGAAAGCCTGTCTGTGACAAGATGGCCGCCGGTGATGACGATAAATACTCCGCCGTGACACATCTAGCCTTTATATAGATATCTATGGGCCATACATCTACCGGCTCCAGGACTGCAGTGCAGCCTCTTCATTTAAAAGTGTAGCGGGCTGAGAAAAAAAGAAAGAAACCGGGTTGTCAAAGAATCCGCTCGTCAAACAATCCGGGCACAGAGTCAGACATATCATATCAGGAGGGGATTCGATTTCTTAAAGGACCCTTGCCTTAAGTAAGTTATTCACGAACAAATGGAAATCCACTTGTTCGAGAATTGGGCTTCTGAGGTTGCGCTGTTGTAAGAACATTTCATTTTCACTCCTGTCTATCTTGGCATGCATGACCCACGAAAGGCAAATCATTCACGTGATTACTAAGTCCTTTCAGTTTCATATGGTGCAATGCATCCGAATGCATAGCGTTGAATGACGGCATCTCACAGTCCAGCCCGATCACGAGGCGCTATATAAACTCCACTGCACCGAATTCACTGCACTTCAGTCGAGATTATACTACGCTGTTGTAGTCATGAAGAGGGATAAAGTTATGCTACGTCATATCGGCAGCAAGTAGCCGTATACACGGATCTCAACATTTGACTAATGTTTTACTTTTCTTGGAGTTGTGGCAGATGAAAACAAGCTTATCCATTCTACATGATGATTATACGTGATTGTGCAATTCTGTCTATGGACGTCT